TGATACTATTGTTCTGTATATATATTATTTATTTCTTTATTGATACTATTGTTTCTGTATATATTATTTATTTCTTTATTGATACTATTGTTTCTGTATATATTATTTATTTCTTTATTGATACTATTGTTTCTGTATATATTACTTATTTCTTTATTGATACTATTGTTTCTGTATATATTATTTATTTCTTTACTGATACTATTGTTTCTGTATATATTATTTATTTCTTCATGGATATTATTTATTCTAAATTTCTATTTATTTATTCTGAATAACACAGAAGGAAATGTAATCGCTATTGGTTGTCTAGGTAACAAGGTCAATATAAATTTGCAAACAGAGCGTTAGCCGTAAAGCTACTTACCGACGAATAGGATTACAGTAGCTGAGACTAATAATTCATTTGTACATACATATAGTAAATAACTCAGTTACACGGCAACTGATCAGAGAGCTCTTCAAACACTTTTCTAATGTTATCAGCCTTCGTGATATGACTTTTAATACAGATAACAAAGATTTTTAGCCAGTGTTTGACTTCGCATTTCAATCCAATTGGCAGCGATGTATTTGGTAATTAGCCAGTTCTTTTTGTTAAAACATATTTCAGGATCTCTTAAGGCATTTGAAGTGTTACTTTTTCAAAACAAAGGATTTTAATTTGTAGACTTTAAATAAGCTTCTTTCGTGTACACCACTGCTTTACAATAAAGTTCTCTTCCAGTTTCTTCACCATTACTGGTGTACGTTATTATTCTCTTTCAGGACTATTATTCTTATTCACTCCCTACTCTCGAATACAGCACACAGTTTCACAGTTTCCACACTGATGTCGAGAGTGAAGTTTTCTCACTTATTGTATCACAAGGTTATAATAGATCGGATACCGAATATGTTAACAACTAAATCAAGAAACATCATGAGGACGTGTCTAATCATAACTCTGTCTTACGTGGTAAGACAGTGGCTGTAACCTAAAAATACTCTAAACCTTCTTGTAATAGACCTAGACATTGATACATGCAACAAGGGATCCTCCAACATATACCTAGACATTGTTATATGCAACAAGGAACACTCCACTATATTTGTACATTGCTACATTAAACAAGGGATCCTCCCACATATATCTAGACATTGTTATATGCAACAAGGAACACTCCACTATATGTGTACATTGCTACATGTAACAAGGGATCCTCCAACATATACCTAGACATTGTTATATGCAACAAGGAACACTCCACTATATTTGGACATTGCTACATG